GAGAGAGAGAGAGAGAGAGAGAGAGAGAGAGAGAGAGAGAGAGAGAAAGAGAGAGAAAGAGAGAGAATGGTATGAAGGAAGAAGGAAGAAGAAGAAAAGAAAAAGCAGAAGCAACAGTAGCAGCATCAAGGAAGGGAAAGAGGTAGGAAAGAGAAAAAAAGGAAAAGGAGAAACCAGCCACAAATAAGCCTCTTTTCAAAGGCAAAGAATGACTTTACTCAATTGAAAAAAACAAACAAATAAACAAAAAAAAACCCTTGTTTATTAGCCTGGAAATTCTCTTCTTGTACTGTGTGTGAGCTTCAAGATAAAATATGTTTGATAAAAACCCGCCCTTTACTTGTGGCATGTATCTAAATGTATAAAATATTTTTTAAAGCCAAAGACAATCTTGATGAGAGCAGTTAATGTTTTGTGTTGATACAGCTGTTACTGTTATTGTTGTTTTCTTATTGGATACTGTTTAGCATTAAAGACTATTTCCTGAAATAGACTGGTATGGGAACAGGTGACCTTCCATGTTAATAGATCATTCACTTAGTAAATATTGAGTGAGTTCCATTGTAGGCACATAGCAGTGGATAAAACTCCACCAAGTTTACATTCCATTAAGGAGGAACTAATAATAAACACATAAAAATGAAGAACATAATGTCAGTAAGAAGGGCTATGGGGAGAAATAAATCAGGGAGAAAAAATAATGAACACCAGGGAAAATGTTGGGATAAAGTTAAAATCTGATGCTGTCAAGATTCTTACCCTCAGCTATTATTTCCTCCTCAAAGGGCAATCATCCAGATTAATTTAAATGACTTTGTAAGCTGGTAATAACAGTGTGTGTGTGTGTGTGTGTGTGTGTGTGTGTGTGTGTGTATTAATGGAGTTGAACACAGGCATCTTTATGCATCAGGCAAGTGCTCTACCACTAAGCCTAGTTCTAGCTAGTAATAATCTTGGATAAATGACTTGATACAGAAAACTGAGTCATAGAACCTAGGGTGTCCTAAGCCTCCTTCTAGGCTTTCCTTGAACAATTCTCCTCTCACATTCACAGAGCAGACAGGAGAAGGTCTGAAATCATGTGCAGAATTCACTGGTCAAGCTTTATGCCTTATATGAAACTTCTTCCCAAAGGCTCTTTTCCCCATAGATGGGCCATATAGGGGGCATCTCTTAGCAGTTCATTCTCTAGTGAAAGAAGTGTGCTTTTTTCTTTTTGTTTTTTTTGAGACAGGGTTTCTCTGTGTAGCTTTGGAGCCTGTCCCAGAAGTTACTCTGTAGGCCAGACTGGCCTTGAACTCACAGAGGCTTGCCTGGCTCTGCCTCCTAAGTGCTGGGATTAAAGATATGCACCACCACCACCACCCGGCCAAGGGGTATGCTTTTAATTGGCAAGAAATCATTGCATGATCCTGCAGCTATCTTATTTGTCTCAATGTTTAAATTTACTGTGGGATTCCCAAAAATTCTACCAACCAGTAAGTAAACAGGATCAAATAAATTAAGGGTTCCAGAGGTATGCCTATAGGACCCTTCACAGTGATGGTGGAATTAAATGGTTAAACATTAACCCCAGCTGGTGTCAGTGAGTCCTTTATATATAGTATAAGAGGAATCATTGAGTGTGCAGGTTATTTTTCCCATTGAAAAGCATGTGGCTGCTGTGTGGCAAGAAGTGGGGACAAGCTACACTTGAGGAACTACTTACATAAGAGGGAGAAGTTATAAGCAACCAGATGTGTGCAGGGCATGGAACACCACACATCTCTCCCCAGAGTTGATATGTAAAAGGAAACTTTGGATAATTGTGTAGTTGAGGATTCTCTGCACTCAAAAAGTACAACACAACAATACAAATTGAGTTGACAAGAAATGTGAGCAGGAGTATAAGAAGAAACTCAGCAAATGTAGAGTAAAACAAGAAATGCCTCCCAAGCCTCAAGCAGCATGTCTCTTAGCTGTGCCTGTCAGAAGGTCTTCACTTCAGAACCTCAGGGTATGCTTTTGCTGTTATAAACAAGCATCATGTGTCTAAGCTAACTGTTTGGTGATGTCAGTGAAGTTATACAACACATGTTTCAATCATTTTCCACAGCTTCTTTTTCATTGTCTTAATAATTTATGGACTGAGGGAGTCTCTTTTACATTTAGCATCAAGATTCTGAAGTTGATGATAATTGAAATCAAGGGGGCAGGCCCTCCTACTAATCCAACTTTGATTTATTTCTGTCAGCCAGGATGAAATCTCTCTGAACCGCTAGTATTTTTGTTCATAATTTTTTATGGATCCAGTGAGACCTGTTAATCTGTATGCTAATGGAATTACTAAAGATGAGTCGCCACTAAGGGTTGCCCTTTATTCTGACAGCAGGAGATTTAGTATAAAATAGGAGGGCATTCTTCCTAGAGCAGTCAGACCACCACCTTGCTTGCTTTTACAGGGGAAGTTGTGCAACTCTGGAACTTTATCAGTGGTGTGGACACACCTACAGGACTTTCTTTATGTGTACACTGACTTAGCCCCACACAATGTGAATGCTGCCAAGCTTTTCTGTACTATTGATTATTTCATGGCTGCTTAGGGATGGAGTTCTCAGAAGACTGATTGCTTCATGCTCCTTTGGCTGCCCAGTCATAGGTCATGACCCAGCTCATCTGTTCTGGCACACAAAGCACTCACAGGTGAGAGAAAGAAAGCCCAGGCTTGCTGCTTCAAGAAAGCCTTGTTGCTGTCAAAACTGACAGCACACTGTAAAACAAAAGGATCCTTTTAATTTTTAAATGGTAGAAAGTTTTAAATTAATTTTTTATTTTTATTCACTTACTACCTTGAGTGATATAGACACAAAGCATGTGGCTTATCAACAGTGAACAAAACCTTAAAGACTGAGGTGGGTTAATTTGGATCGTTGTTTGGTTTCTGTTTCTGTTTTGTTATTGGGTTATTTTTTTTTGTTTGTTTGTTTGGTTTTGAAACAAGATCTTACTCTGTAATTCAGGATGATCTGGAACTTACTAGACTTGAACTCATGTTGAGCCTTCTATATCAGCCTCCCAAGTGCTCGGATTATAGGCAGGAGCAACTGTGTCTGACTAAAGACTTTTTTCTTGGGGTTAGGGAAGGTGAGGCAAGGTCTCACTATGTATCCTTGGTTGGCCTGAAACTTGCTGTATAGGGTAGGTTGGCCTCAAACTCACAGAGTTCTGCTTGTCTCTTCCCCTGTCTTCCAATGGATGGGATTACAGGCAGGACCCACCACTAACTGAAAGAATTATTTATAATAATAGAAACGTATCCTTTAGACTTGATTACCTCAAACTTCAAAGGGCAACTGTTGAAATACTGTAGCTCTTAACATATCTGACTTTTTGCTTCTGCTCTATGATGAGGTGATAGACACTTCAAAGTTCTTAATTATTGTTTTGTGCCAGGACTTACTTTGTACAAAGTAATTGAATGATGACATAAACCAGTGCACCTCAAGTTTTAAGAAATTTATTGATGCTCACAGTTCCTCTTGAAGCAAGAGAGCAGCATGCTGCATAGGGATATGCAAGGAAACCATGAAGCTGATCAGGAGAAAGCAACAAAGGTAAAGAGAAACATAGACAACTGGACTGGCCTTTACTGGGAGTGCAGGATAAACAGTTTCAGATTGACTAATTTGAAAAAGCCCAATTTGCTTAAGAGCATGTGGGAGCTCATTTTCAGCTTCCTCGTGGCTTTACCCAGCAGGTCCGCATAGAGAGGATGATTAGGACCATGGGCCTGAGTGCAGGTGTCTGAGATAGTCTGCACTTGGCTGTGCTGGGGGAAGTTTTTTGCTCCACCCCTTGGCGTCTCTATAAACACCCTGGGGCAGAGACAGGGCTCGTTGATATAGGTTTCAGGCCTTCTCAAGGCTAACCTTTATTTTCTATCTGATTATCGCCACAATCTAAATCCTTCTATTTAATATTTCCTGCTGCTTGCACTCAAGAAAACTCTGAGGAACTGTGGGGTTGGTGGGTAAATGCCCCGCAAGGGCAGAAGTGCTGTCCCTATGTCTAGTATCTGTGCTGAGTTTGGATGGAGAAAACAGTGGCTTGGTACATGAGAATAAAATAAAGCAGGTTTGGGGGAGTATGTGAAAGACCTGTTCACCAAGAAGTTCTTTACTACCCTTGTGAATTAACTTGCTTTAGAAAGTCTTTCTCTAGTCAGAGAAGTTTCCCTTCCCAAAAAATGTTATAGCACCATGAAATATGAAGAAATTATA